AGGTGCTGAGATATTTAATGCTCTGCCATTGTTGTTGTAGATTATCTGTTTCAATTACATGACATTTTTTACAAAACCAAAACCTACATATTTTATCAAAACTCTGGGAGTAAGATTGGGGAACTTAGTATGTCATACAAGCTGTCTTTTTTTTTTTTCTTGAGATAGGCTCTCACTCTCACCCAGGCTGGAGTGCAGTGGCATGATTATAGCTCACCGCAGCTTAGAACTCCTAGGCTCAAGCCATCCTCTTGCTTCAGCCTCCCCAGTAACGTCAGCCTCCCCAGCACTACAGGTGTGCACCACTACACCTGGACAGGCTTTTATTAATTGGTTTGTAGAGACTGGGTCTTGGCTGGTCTCCAACTCCTGGCCTCAAGTGACTCTCCTGCCTCACCTCCCATAGCACTGGGACTATGGGCATGAACCACCACACCCAGCCCCGGCCATCTCTTTACTATATACTTTCTGTTAATTCTTTAAGCTAAAATTGGACAACTGTAACAGGGCTTTTGTCAGAAATTATCAGGTCAAGTCACTTAAAAGGAAAAGAGTATTTTTTTTTAACATTTGTTAAATACAATTAGTGATAATCCATCACTTCTCTATGTGAAGGTTTTTCATTTTGGTCATCTCAAATGTACTAAGTTTGCCTGATCATTATCATCATTGGGAATTTGATCTCAGTGTTCCCGTCTTTGTTTCAGCATAAAGTAATGAATGACATTACAGTTAATAAGGAAAAAAATAGCATTTCTATACTAGGCATGTTCAAGTCAATTTAACATTGTACATTTATCATAGATAAGCACTGTAAAAGGTGGAGTAAATAAAGATTATTTTCTGAGTTCTATTCCATTCTGTCAAACAGAAATATAGTTTCTGATATAAATATTGGTAATTTTATAAATTTAAAGTTATTATAATAAGATTTGCCTTTAATGTTGTAATAAAATAAAAGTAAGCCTGGATTTCTAGTCCCAGAATGTGAAAACAAAGAAAAAAGCAAAAAGACAAAAACAAAAAGTAGGAGTAGGATAAAGTGAATGTGAACATGTAAATGTGGACAGGATCTGTTTTTGGATAAAGAACAATTTAATTGTTATATAATTTTCTAAAATGTTTAAATGTTTGAAACTATTCAAAGGTTAACATAAAACAAATGCCTGAAGTGAAAAATTATAGCATAGTTAAGTCAAATATTTAAATATTATACTTTTTTTAGAAAGTTATAAAGTTCACCGAGAAAGATATAGAGAATAATAAATGTATTTGTGGAGATTATTGTGAACTCTCGGTTAATGTTTTGATACATCTGATTAATTAAAACTAAGTAACTTTCTGTGAGCCTTTTTTTTTTTTTTTTTTAGATGGAATCTTGCTCTGTCACCAGGCTGGAGTGCAGTGGCGCGATCTCAGCTCACTGCAACCTCAGCCTCCCAGGTTCAAGCCATTCTCCTGCCTCAGCTTCCCGAGTAGCTGAGACTACAGGAGTGTGCCACCACGTCCAGCTAATTTTTGTATTTTTAGTAGAGACAGGGTTTTACCATGTTGACCAGGATGGTCTCAATCTCTTGACCTCGTGATCTGCCCACCTTGGCCTCCCAAAGTGCTGGGATTACAGGCATGAGCCACCGGGCCCAGCCCATTTTTTGTATTATATGAAATATATAATTTGTTATATATAACAACATAAAATATATATTCTGGAAAATATATATTCCAGAACACACACATAATTTATCTTTAAAATTTTTTCTCTACTATTAACATTTATACTTTAGTTCTTATAGGTTCTATAATGTATAAAATGCCTCCTAACATTTTTTTACTGCCATTGTGTTTTAGTATCAGAGACTTCCCATTAGACTGACTGGTGGATTTCATACAGTATTACTCCAATGAACAATTCTGTTGCATTGATAGACTAATAATAAATATCTCCATAGTGTTCTACAATGTGCATAATTATCCCATTTGTCTCATAGCAACTCACTGAGTTAGTTATCATTGTCATTGTGATTTTACTCATGAGGAAATTTAGATTCAATGATAATAAGTGATGTTTCCAAAGTGGCTGTTAGTGAGTGGTAGAGCCAGGACTGGAACTTGGGTCTTCTGTCCTGAATTCCTTCCAACTTGTGAAGACAGATCAGCAATAGGGACGTTTATATGTGCCTCCCTTTAGAAAGGCATCCTCTTCAAACATTAAGACAATTCATTGATCTCTTGTCAAATGATTCTAAATTTTATCACAAAATTACCCATTTTTGTAGTCTGTTAAATATTTGACTTACAAGCAGCATTTATGTATTACATTTACTGTGTTGAGCTTTATAATTTTATTTCAAAGTTATTATGTAGACCTATACTTGAAGACACATTTAAGTCATACACAAATTTTAAAAATTATAAAATTTGCAAGCCAAAAAAATGTTTGGCTGGTTATTTAGTCTTTCTGCACCTGAGTAAACCAGGATTCTTGGATGCCAGTAATAAAAATCAACTATGTTAATTATAAAACACACAAGCAACAACAAAAACCCCTTTTAAAAACAAAAGAAAAAGAAAAAAATAATTTACTGAAAGGACACCAGGGGTTCACTGAATAGAAGCTAGAGGACAAGCTTAGAATATGGACAGAAGCCAAGGCACATCTGAAGGGCTAAAAAGCAAGCATCACAAATCCTCCCATTGGTTTTCATTATCTGGACACCACCACCATCAAGAATAAATAGTCATATGTTTGTCTTTGCTTTAGTATTTTCTGATTCAAATGCCTGTTAAAGTATGTTCCATGGGCCAAACCTATGCCCCAAGCCCAGAGAAGGAGAAGCTTTACCCAGCTTTCTCAGTGGGAAAGTAGGAAGGTAGGGCACTTGCTCTCACAAAACTACAACCAGTGGGGAACTCTGTCCACACAGAGAAAGAAGGAGGGGAGGAAGAAAGTTGGGAAGGAAAGGAGGAAGGTTTTAGAGAGCAGTGAGGGAGGAGGAAAGGAAAAGAAGGAAGGGAGGGAGAGAGGGAAGGAAGAAAGGAGGGAGGGAAGAAAGGAGGGAGGGGAGGAAGGGAGTGAGGGAAGAAATGAGGGAGAAGGGGAGCAAGAAAAGGTGGGAAGGAGAAAAAATGTTTAGTTAGACACTGAAGAGCATACCTTCTCAGTAAAAGGTAAATGCTCACTATGGCATCTCTGATTATTAATATACATTTGAGTTTTTGGTCTTATTGAGGCTAAGGAATTCTAAGAAGAGAAGAGCAATTTTTCTACTATTCACATGAAGATGGGACGATCTGAAGTGTATGAAGAGAAGAGCCTTCTTTTTTGCTACCTACCTTGACATGATTAACATTGTCAGGAAATAACTTTCTTTTGCTCTTGATAGCTAATGAATTAAGTTTTGCTTCGGTTTTACTTTTGAAACAGATTATTTGTAAGAACGTCATGGACTTTTAGAGAAAATATATGTTTTTAAAATAACTATAGAAAGTGGTTGATGTTCTCAGCAAAACATTGTCTCTATACCTTTAATTTTAAAAATTATCCATTTTCATTGTTTCAGCTACACTGAGATATAAATAACTTTCAAGTTTATATTAATATTTTTAGCCCAGATATCTCCTCATACTTCTAATTCATACATGCAGCTGATATCAGGATGTTGACCCCTGAATCCTATCCAAAACTATTTTCTCCCTAGCAAGTTTCTTCTCCTTTATTTTATCTCAGCAATGCTGTTATCATCATCTACCGTTCAAGAAAAATACTGAAAGATGTATTTGATTCCTTCTTCTTCCCATCTACCTGCAATCAGTTGACAAATGTCTTTGATTTTTCCCCTTTAAATATTTTTCTGATGCACTCTCTCCTCTTAATTCCGATGTGTTGACTTACTTCAGGCTTTTATCATCTCTCACCTGGGCTTTGACAGTATCTCCCAGCTGTCCTCCCTAACTCCAGGCTTATTCCCTTGAATCCACCTACCACATAGCTAAAAAGGATCTATCTACATTGCAAGGCTATGTCACTCCCATTGCTCCTTAGTAGATATGCAAGACCTTGAATGATCTGACCCAGCCTACATCTCCAAACACATCTTTGTTTCTCCCACGTTTAAGTTACTCACTGTTGAGTTGGTGATCTTCCCTTGAGAATTGGGAAGACATGAAGAGACTTGTGATGATTAAGTCAAGATTCATTTGCCCTTTCCTTGCCATCCTTCTGCCACCAACACCATGGAACAGCCTAAAAGAGGATGAAAGACCAAAGCATTCACACCACACCCCCCAATACACACACACACAGATTCTAAATCTCTTAAGCCACATGGAAGTTTAAAACAAGACTGCATTAAGTTTCAGAGAACACAAGTGACCTAATGACTGTGGAATCTACCCAAGACGTAGTTAAGGGTTGTTAAAAGAAAATTAGATATAACACAACTGAAAGCAGTAGTTTTACAAAGTAAGACCAATTTATGTTTAAATCCCAAAGAACTGAGATTTAACAAACTGATTATATTCCATTCAGGCATTATTTCTCTTTTTTTCTGGTAATTTTTTCCTGACTTCCCTCCAGATTGACTGATGCACTCGCTTGTAACCTTCTCTACCCCAGCACTCATGTGCTTGTTTCTCCTGTTGAGTTGTGATCTTCTTTTGAGGCTAGGATTGAGTCTTACTCATCTTCATTTTTATACAGTGCCTGGCACACGAATGGTTCTCATTAAATGTGTGTTGCATGAATGAGGGATGGATAATGGATTCACTTAGCAAAATCCCAGAAATGCTAAATCATAGTGACTGATTTTAAGTGACTTCCAAAGTTGCTGATATTTTAGGCTGTATTATTTATTAATGTTTTCTGATTTTCACTGTAAAATATGTTGAGATTGAAAACATTACCCTACTTATACCTATTTTCAGATTTATATGTATTTTCAACATTTTTTATGTAATCCAGTCATTTTTATGGTCACTGTATTTTTAAATTTGTTTTGTAGGTTTTCGAAACTTACATATTGATGACCAGATAACTCTCATTCAGTATTCTTGGATGAGCTTAATGGTGTTTGGTTTAGGATGGAGATCCTACAAACACGTCAGTGGGCAGATGCTGTATTTTGCACCTGATCTAATACTGAATGAGTAAGTAGTAACTTTTGTTGTTTTTGTTATTATATGTGTACATATAGGATAATTTTGAAAGTTGTATTTCAATAGATGATCACATATTTAGTGTTCTTGATATGATGATATTAATGTCATTTTATGGTAATTTGATATTTGGAGCTTTTTTCTCGTTTCAAAATATAGTTGTATCAAATCCAAATTTCTTACACACCAAGAATGTATCAAGTAATATATTTAAAGATAAACTTAAATGTTTCATTTATCAATTTAAAATTTTATAGCTTGGTACTAATGACAATCATAAAATAAATGAGAAATATTTTTGTTATTGACTTACATTCAAAAAGTAAAAACCTCTTTCTTCGTACATGACAAATTAGACTGGCAATTTATTTTAAAAGTTGAAAGATAAAGATTTTAATTTGCTTTATATTTAAATAATTTCAATTGATTTTCTACATATAACCTTTAACTGAATAAGCATCTTTTCATGGTAATGTTTATATTGTTCTAATGGTGAATGCTGACTTAGAAGTATATAACTCACACTGAAAGCAGTGGTTTTACAAAGTAAGACCAGTTTATGTTTAAATCCCAAATAGCTGAGATTTTTATAAGTCTTTACAGTTTTTAGATAATTTTCATGTTTCATTATATTTTATCCAACAATTCCTTGAGATAATTAAGAAATCAGCATTCTTCACTGTACAGTTCAGAAAATTGACTCTCAGAAGAATTATATAATCTGCCAAATAATTTGAATGACAGTGAGATTCATTCTCTCTTTTGAGTCAAAATCTAGTTTTCTTTTCATTATTTTTGCTAGCTTCATTTGACTAATGTGGACATTATAAAACAACACATGGTTGAGAAAATGCCTTAATTAAATTTTCTCAGCCTTCAGCACTTGTGTTTAACTTTGTCCATTCATTAATGCTTGCCAATGTCCTCTTTTAGTCTTTTCTGTATCATTGTATGTTTCCCTAGAAAAGTTCAAAATATGGTAAGCTCTGTGAACTGACTTCTCCTGTTTAATTGCACACAAAATTATATAATTATGTTTTCATAGAAAATAAATTGTAAGTAAATAAAACATTTCTGAGCAATCTTCAGCTCCACATTCTCAACTCCTACACCCCTGCTCTGTTTTCTTGGTTTAGGTATTTAAAATGTAATAATAAAAATGAGAAACAATGTTAATCTTGGTCACTGTGTATTTCATATAATTTTCTAATTTTAAGATTTCTTAACCTCAAAAATTCAGTATTGTAAAAAGTTCAGAAGATGTTTAAAATTCCAAATATTGGGTTTGTTTATTAAAAGTGTAGTCATACTCAATAATATGTAAGGTAATTACCAAAATCATATTCCCTGATAAATTACCTAAACTGGCTGAGACACTTTTTTTTTTTTCCTGTTGCTTTTTCTTTTGTGTGTTGTGTGTGGTGCAAGACAGCGGATGAAAGAATCATCATTCTATTCATTATGCCTTACCATGTGGCAGATCCCACAGGAGTTTGTCAAGCTTCAAGTTAGCCAAGAAGAGTTCCTCTGTATGAAAGTATTGTTACTTCTTAATACAAGTGAGTGAGTTCAAGTAACTTAATGCAAGATATTTAGTTTCTTAATTCATTAGAAAAGTTGCAAACAATATGATTATATAGTTATATATGAGGTAGACATTTTGGCTTATAAGTATAAAGAAGAAATACCCAATATATTGTTATAGACATTAATACAATTACTCGATTTTTTTAGTCTTTTACCTACCATATAATACTAAAATAGCCTTATCAATTTCTTTTTATTTTAGATAAAATGATTTAATTACTCTTTCATATTCACCTATTTCAGTAATGTAAACTACAGTCATGTGCCACATAACAGTATTTTGGTCACCAATGGAACACATATACAATGGTTCCCTAAGATTATAATGGAGTTGAAAAATTACCATCACCTAGTCCCGTTATAGCCATCATAACATAGCATAATGCACTAATCACACGTTCGTGGTGATACTGATGTAAACAAACCTACTGTGCTGCCAGTCATATAAAGTATAGCACATACAATTATGTACCGTACATAGTGCTTGGTAGTGATAATAAACAACTCGTACTGGTTTATGTATTTACTATACTATAGTTTTCTATTGAGAGTCACTACTTCTACTTTTTTAAATTGACTGCAAAACAGCCTCAGGTAGGTCTGTCAGAAGGGATTCCAGAAAAGACATCGTCATCCTAGGAGATGACAGCTCCATGTGTGTTACTGCCCCTGAAGACCTTCCAGTGAGATAAGATGTGGGGGTGGATGACAGTGATATTGATGATTCCCACTCTGTGTAGGCCTAGGCTAATGTGTGTTTTGGGTATTCGTTTTTAACAAAAAAGTTTAAGCAAAAAAAAAAAATATTTAGAAGTAGATAAACCTTATAGAATAAAGATAGAGAGAAAGAAAGCTAGGCACGGTGGCATGTACCTGTAGTCCCCGCTACTTGGGAGGATCACTTGAGCCCAGGAGTTCAAGTCCAGCCGAAGCAACATGTGAGAACTTGTCTCTAAAACAAGAAAGAAAGAAAGAGAACTGTACCATGTGTTTTTGTTTTTAACTAAATGTTATTACAAGAGTCAAAAAGTTAAAAAACTAGAGTTTATAAAGTAAAAAAGTTACAGTAAGGTAAAGCTAATTTATTATAAAAGAAATAAAAATATTTTTATAAATGTAGTATAGCCTAAGTGCACAGTGTTTATAAAGTCTATCGTAGTGTATAATAATGTCCTAGGCCTTCACATTCTCTCACCACTCACTCACTGACTCACGCAGAGCAACTTCCAGTCCTGCAAGCTCCATTCATGTTAAGTCCCCTATGCAAGTGTCCCATTTTTATCTTTTATATTGGATTTTTACTATGCCCCTTCTGTGTTTAGATACACAAGCACTTATCACTCTGTTACAGTTGCCTACAGTATTCAGTAGTCACATGCTGTACAGGTTCATAGCCTAGGTATAAGGCCTAGGTGTATAGTAGTCTATACCATCTAGGTTTGTGTGAGTACACTCTGTGACAATCACGCAATGATGAAATTGTGTAAGGACACATTTATCAGAATATATACCCATCATTCAGTGATACACGACTGCAATTAATATTGGATAAGCACAAACCATACTCTTTTCTACCACCACTCTCACCCCATCCCCAAAGTATTTGCTATATAAAATACATAATTTTGTTTAGAATTATTTTTGTGATGTCAAGATAAATTGTTAAAACAGGTAACTATAAAGGTTAGCATCTTAATATAATAGTGGTTTCTTTATCACAGACACAGTCCAGTGAGTTAGCAAGAAACGCCCAGGCTCCTTCTAGCCAGTGGCTCCACCCTTTCCTCGTGGCTTGCAAACCTCTATTGGACGTGACTAGCAATGAGCACTGAGTGAGAGAGGTTTTGAAGGCTAGATCTGGAACTATCATACATCACTTTCACCCACATTCCAAGGCACTTAAGCTGCAGGAAAGGCTGGGAAATACAGCCTAGCTATAGGCTCAGAAGAAAGAGGAAATGATGTTTTATAAAGCATTGCGTTGATCGCCAGAAGGACAGGCAAATATCCGTTCCACTTTTTCTTATATCCAAGGAACATACTTACCTCTGCCTCAGTGGATCCCCAAGGGTCTGGGTGGGAAGTTCAAAAAGAAAGAAAAAGCAACTGCTTTGACCCTTGCATAGGCAGGATCAGCCCTCAAATGTACAAACCGATGCTTCCTTGATTCATTGTGATTTGTGTGAGCACCACAGGGAGCTAAGACCTCAGGCCGAGGGTGAGCCTAAGGTCTTTCTCAGCAACATCATTACAGGGACTTCTTTCTAAGACACAAATCTCAAATGGCTGGGGGGTGCAGATCAGGAGGGAAGGGCAGGGAAGCTAAACCCTAAAATGAAGGCTTCCTCATGGAATCTATGCAAAGACAAGGATCAATACATAACTCTCTTGGGAACCCTATTTGGATGAGGAATTTCAAGCCTAATTTGGTGACAGAGCATCAAGTGGAGAAAGAATATTCACGTGGAACCGGCCCAGAGAGTCCACTGGAATACATTTAATAACACCGTAATTAGCTCCTGCCCTTCTTTGCATGAAGGAATGAATCCTATAGCCCTTATGCCACAGAGTCCTAGATTTTCCAAATTGGCTTATATCCTTAACATAATTCTCTGTTTATGGATAGGCAACATTATGCTGGGGGATTAAACAACAATGGAATTAATCAACAGGGAGGCACTGCTCATTGTTGTCACTTAGAAACTTAGGCGATCACTAGAGCAGTGGTAAGAAAAGCAAGTGAGATTCGTACAACTTCCACTCACATGCCATAGAGAGTAAGATTTTTAGCCACTTGCCACTTCACAAAAAGAAAGAAAAAGAAACTATTTAATGAATAGTACTTATGCCTTCCACAGATTCTAATCAAGATTCTAATGAGATTTTGGAAGAAGAGGGTGAATTTGACAAACCTATTGAAAATCTATTTTTAAAACTAAATAGATAAGCATTATAAAAACATGCATGGAATTAGAAAGCTACTATAATTAATACAGCATGGGAGAAGAGATATACTGAACTTTTGGGCAAATCAGACAAGTATATATTAGAACATAAATAGTATAGTGGAAACCACAAATCAATGAGTATGAAACAAATAAATGTTAAGAAAAATAGTTTTATATTTGGAAAAAAAAAAGTTTGGATATATAGCTCAAATTATATCCTTGAATAACAGATAATTGAGTTAAATGTAAACACTCAAATAATTAAAAAACAAACTAGAAGAAATAGAAATAATCTTCAATCTCAAGTAGAAAATACCTTTTATAAATGCAAGAAGATTGGCAAAGTAAAACTTTGATGATTTGGTAGTTATGAACTTAAACCTCTCATTTGCCATTAAAAATGAAAATATAAATCTCCAGGAATAGACAGTAGGTTGAACAAACATTTTTACCATTGTTCTCACCAAAATTACACTAAAGGCCAGATGTAGTGGGTCACATTTCTAATCACACTTTGAGAGGCCAAGCCAGGCAGATAGCTTAAGCCCAGGAGTTTGAGACCAGCCTAGGCAACTTGCAAAACCCCATCTCTAAAAAAAAAATACAAAAATTTAGCCAGGCGTAGTGGCAAGTGTCTATAGTCCCAGGTAGCCGGGAAGCTGAGGTGGGAGGATCACCTCAACCTAGGAAGTCAAGGCTGCAGTGAGCCATGATTGCGCCACTGTACTCCTGCCTGGGTGATTAAGGCCCTGTCTCAAAAAAAAAAAAAAAAAAAAAAAAAAAAAAAAAAAAAAAATTTACACTAAAATCTTAGTAAAGGGATTTGCCATGAACAAATTGAGAAAAAATAAATTTACATTCATGTTTACAGCTGAGGGAAATATAGGGATTGGTTGGTAACCTTAAAGAGAGTTGTGAAGGTTTGAAATGACTGCTCTTTGAAGTAGCTCCAGAAAATTAGTACAGCCTCTATGGAAGACCATATGGAGATTTCTCAAACTATAAATATAACTACCATTCTATCTAGCAGTCCCACCACTGGATGTCTACCCAAAGGAAAAGAAATCATTATATCAGAAAGATACTTGCACTCGTTTATTGCAGCACTATTCATGATAGCAAAGATAGGGAATCAATCCAAGTGTGTATCAACAGATAATAGGATAAAGAAAATGTGATGTATTCGCACATATACATACACACAGACACACACACAATGGAATATTATTCAGACATCAAAAAGAATGAAAGTGTGTCTTTTGCAGCAACATGGATGGAACAGGAAGTCATTATCTTAAGTGAAACAATTCAGAGACAAAGTCAGATACCACATGTTCTCACTTATAAGTGGGAGCTAAATAATGCATGTACATGGGCATAGAGTGTGGAATAATTGACAGTGGTGACTTGGAAGGCTGGAAAGGTAGGACGGGGGTGAGACATTACCTAATGGATACAATGTGCATTATTGGGTGATTGTTATACCAAAAGCCCAGATATCACTATGCAATATATTCACGTAACAAAACTGCACAGATATTCCTTAAATGTATACAATTTTTTTTAAAAAAGAGGTTCTAGATATACATATAGATGTACATACTGGAGTTTTCAATTGACAAAAATTTGCATAGATATACTGAATTGCCAGAATTACTCTTCACAGTCCCCTTTATGTATAAGATCCTGAAAACTCAAAAACCAAAGAATGAACTTATTTGTTTTTCATAAGTTTGTATCTCTGGCCTTTTTTTTCTAGGGGAAATGGAAACCAAGTTTTGATTGGGGTGCATGGGATAAATATAGGTTTAAGAAATTGTAATTTTCCTCCCTGTTCCCTGAGGTACAACAATATTGGAATTAGGCCAAGGCTGGGCACAGTGGCTCATGTCTGTAATCCCAGCACTTTGGGAGTCTGAGGTGGGCAGATCACTTGAGGTCAGGAGTTCAACATCAGCATGGTCAACACAATGAAACCCTGTCTCTACCAAAAAGACAAAAATTAGTCTGAAATGATGGCACACACTTGTAATCCCAGCTACTCAGGAGGCTGAGGCAGGAGAATTGCTTGAACCTGGGAGGTGGAGGTTACAGTGAGCTGAGATTGTGCCACTGAACTCCAGCCTGGGCAACAGAGCAAGACCTTGTCTCAAAAAAAAAAAAAAAAAAAAAAACCAATTAGGCCAACTAACAATCTTAGAATGGCCTCTTGGTGTTCCAGTAAAAGAAAGAGTTGCAAGTCTGAGGTAGAAATGATTAAGCTTAATGAGGAAGGCATGTCAAAAGTTGATACAAGCTAAAAACTAGGTCTCCTGAGCCAAGCAACTAACCAAATTTCAAATACAAAGGAAAAGTTCTTGAAGGACATTAAAAGTGCTATTCCAGTGAACACATGAATGATAAGCAAAACAGCCTTATTTCTGATATGGAGAAAGTATTAGTGGTCTGAATAGATGATCAAACCAGCCACAATATTCCCTTAAGCCTAAGTCTCATCCAGAGGGAAGGCCCTGATTCTCCTCAATACTATGGAGGCTAAAAATGTGAGGAAGGAAGAGAAAAAAGTTTGAAGCTAGCAGAAGTTGGTTCATGAGGTTTAAGAAGCCATTTCCATAACATAAAGTATAAGATGAAGCAGCAAGTGCTGATGTAGAAGCTGCAGCAAGTTATCCAAAAGATTTAGGTAAGATTATCGCTACTTCTGAAAGTAGCTGTGCTAAAAAACAGGTTTTCAGGGTAGATAAAACAGCTTTCCATTGGAGGAAGATGTCATCTAGGATTTTCATAACTACAGAGAAGAAGTCAATTTCTGGCTTCAAAGCTTCAAAGGACGGGCTGACTCTCTTGTTAGGGGCTAATGAAGCTGGTGACTTGAAGCTGAAGCTAATGCTCATTTATCATTCTGAAGATCCTAAGGCCTTTAAGAATTATGCTCAATCTATTCTGCTGTTTATGAATGGAACAACAAAGCCTGGATGACAGCACATCTGTTTACGGCATGGTTTACTGAATATTTTAATCCACTGTTGAAACTTATTGCTCAGAAAGGAATACTACTTTCAAATATTACTGCTCATTGATAGTGCACCAAGTCAGGCAAGAGCTCTTATGGAGATATGCAAGGAGATTAATGTTTTCATTTCTGCTAACACAACATTCATTCTGTAGTTCGTAGATCAAAGAGTAATTTTCCACTTTCATGTCTTATTATTTAAGAAATATATTTTGTAAAGCTGTAGCTGCTATAGACAGTGATTCCTCTGATGGATGTGGGTAAATTGAAAACCTTCTAGAAAAGATTAATCATTCTAGATGCCATTAAGAACATTCATGATTCATGGCAGAAGGTGAAAACAGCAAAATTAACAAGAGTTTGGAAGAAATTTATTTCATCCCTCTTGGATGACTTTGAGGGAGTTCAAAACTTCAGTGGAGGAAATAACTACAGATGTGTGAAAAGAAGAAGAGAACTAAAATTAGATGTAGAACCTGAAGACATGACTGAATTGCACTAGTTTCATAAAACTTGAAAGATGAGTTTTTTCTTATGGATGAGCGAAGAAAGTGGTTTCTTGAGTTGGAATCTGCTTCTAGTGAAGATGCTATGAACATTATTGAAATGACAACAAAGGATTTCGAAGATTACATAAACTTAGTTGATAATGCAGCAGCCGGACTTAAGAGGATTGACTCCAGTTATGAAAGAAGTTCTACTGTGGGTAAAATGCCATCAAACTGCCAGCATTGCATGCTACAGAAAAATTATTCACAAAAGAGTCAACTGATGCAGCAAACTTCATTGTTGCCTTATTTTAAGAAACTGTCATAGCCACCCCAACCTTCAGCAACCACCACCCTGACCAATGAGCAGCCATCAACATGTAGACAAGACCCTCCACCAGCAAAAATATTTGACTCATGGAAGACTCAGATGATTGTTACCGTTTTCTAGCAATAAAGTATTTTTTTAGTTAAGTTATGTTCATTTTTTAAATAATGCTGTTTCACACTTAATACATTCTAGTGTAGTGTGAATATAACTTCTCTGTAGACTGGGAAACCAAAAGATGCATGTGATTCACTTTGTTGCAATATTTCCTTTTTTGCAGTGGTCTGGAACCAAACCAGCTATGTCTCCAAGATATCCCTATGTAACAAAGTGGCTGGATATAAGATAAATATTTAAATATTAATACTTTTCTCCCATATCAGCAGGAAGGCATTGGAAAATTTAATGAGGCAATTTTTTAAATTACAACAAAAATATAAATCGTCTAGGAATAATCTTAATGACAAATACTTGAGATTTATATAAAGAAGACAAAAGTTTACTAAGAGATCCAAGTGTTCATTAAAAAGAAGGGGACAAAAAGGATCCAGATTACATGCAGCTGTAAACTAAATCAAACCAAGTATTCAAGAAGCATGTAGAATAAGGCCAGGTGCTCTTTTGAGCAAATGCTAAGATAAATGCAGAATCCATTGATACAGGTCTAAAATAGGTCAGCTGAAGTGTTCTTTACTATACCTATTAGTTCTTATATTCTTCCAGTGAACTAGAAGTGCATATGTCCTGATACTATCAATAACATGATCTCTTTCCTATATAAGGTGTTTTTTTTCTAGTCATATATCAGAAGAAATCTTTATATATCTTACAAATATGTGTTATAAGTTGTTAATGTCATCTTTTTAAACATAACTGCCACTTTTAATTGTCTTCCCACAGTTCCTTTGGAAGGACTACGAAGTCAAACCCAGTTTGAGGAGATGAGGTCAAGCTACATTAGAGAGCTCATCAAGGCAATTGGTTTGAGGCAAAAAGGAGTTGTGTCTAGCTCACAGCGTTTCTATCAACTTACAAAACTTCTTGATAACTTGCATGATGTAAGTATTTGGTTGATTCCAGAATATCAATGATTATTCTCTGATTTTCTATAACTTTATAAATGTTACATATCAATTTTACTTTATATGATTTTCTCAGATTAATACTTGTATTTTAAAAGTGTTTGCATCACGCTGCTCAGACTTTATATAGTTTGTTTTCATTTTCAGTATAGACCACCCAAATATTCTTTTACAAGTATTTGTATAATTTGAGGGTAATTTAATAGCTGATAGAAATTATGGTACATTTCCTGAATATGTTCTAAAATATTTGTGCCTAAAATTATAAAAGATTTTATATATATAGTAAAAACAAAGGTATGTATGTGGAAAATAAGACTCATGCCATTTTAAATGGAATTATAAATAGCATTGCTGATGGATGGGCAATCAGGCAATATATAGCAAAAGTTAAAATTTGCATGCTTTTCAAGTTTCTATTTTTTAGAATTTATCTTAAAGAAATTATTAGGCAAATGTAATATACATGCAAGGATGTTCACCATAGCAGAGGGGAAAAAAAGAAAAACAAACAAGAAATGCCTAACACCAGAAGTGGATTACTAAGACAAGATATCTGTGGTTTGTCAAGATATATGAAATACAAGCTTTTATTGCTACTATGTTCAGATCACATTAAAATGACAGTGAAGGCATAAAAACGCTATCCACTCACTAGGTCAACTTTTGAGGTCTTACTCCTGAATATGAACAGACAGCCAAGATTATGAGCTATTTGAGTAAAGCCTCTAAAATGAAAGGCAGAAAGCAAAATAAAAAGACACTTGAAGGAAAAAAACACCAGTGCAGAGAACAGAAGAAAACTTCTAACATCCTCAGAGAAATAAGAATGATATGGCGTCCATGACATGAGAACAGAAAACATTTTTTAAATGAACATTTAGCAAGAAAATACTTTTGGATAATTAAATGAAGAAAGGCAGAAATTAAAAATTCACTGAAAGGGCTGAAATGGAAGGGAAAATCTGGGGAAAAGTGAAAGATCAAAACATGGAAAATTAGAAAGAAGAGTTATAGTAAATTTAGTATCCAGGGAGTTCTAGCCTCCAATTAATAGGAATGTCCAGAAGAAAAAATAGAGAAAATCAAGGAGAGAAATTTATGTAAGAAATCATAAAAGTTGCTGGAACTGAAATACACGAGTTTTCTAACAATAAGGGTCCAGTGTAGAGGCACTGCACAATTGAACTAAGGTACCTTATTGTAAAACTGTAGCATGCCAGAAATGAAGAGAAAATTTTAAAGTATACCAGCAATGAAAGAAACAGATCACACAGAAGTTATCAGGATTCAGAATGATGTTGGACTTCTCTGCAGCAACACTGGAAGCCAGAAGACAGTGGAGCAGGCCTTCAGAATTTCACGGAAAAGAAAATCTTCAAAGAATTTCATACCTAGCCAAACCATCGAACAAGTACAATGGCAGCATGGAAGTATTTTCAACCGTGCAAGGTCTCCTAGAGTTTACCTCAGATACAACCTTTCTCAAGAATTGCTACAGGATGTCTTACAACAAAACATGGGACTAAGCCAAAGATCCACCCCAAGAGAGATGCAAAGTGATGTCCCAACACAATAATTGTGCAGAGCAGTAGTCTAGATGGGAGCAGTAATACAAAGGGTTCTAGGATACCAGCTCCAGGAAAAATAAATGGAACTGAGAGATTACCAGTAAGTATGACTGTAATTGAGGTGATTTTTACAATTCTGTTGGCGCATTTGACTATGACTTTGTGACAAATGTAGAGAAAACAAAACAAACAAGAACACGAGGTGATTCACTTCTGCAAAATAAAAATGAGTCATAAGAATGGAGATGCAATCCAGCAGAAAACCATTAAAAATCTTTATAATATAAATGCTGGATATTGCCTTTAGCTAAAAATTGAGCTAAAAGCTTTCTCTGGGAAGAAGAGAACGTGTACATAGTTGAGGAAGAGAGTGTCTAGTATAAGAGAACTTCATTTTCTTCATTTCCCATAGTAGAAACTAAACCTAACTTTAGTGGAAATATAGAAATAAATATCAAAAGACACAGGCTACAAAAAGTTGAAGGTAGTTGTGTCTACAGGGCTGGAATAGGGATGGGAAGAAGTCTATCAGGAAACTGCAAGGCTGTATTGCTGCTGCTGCTGCTGCTTTTGTTTTTATAATCATGTAGTACTACTTGGCTTTTAACACTATACACATGAATTACTTTGATAAAAATTAGATTAAACGATGTTGGATTATTGGCATAGGAAGAATCAATATGTTATATAAAACAGCCAGATTAGCAAATAGAATTTATGAAACATGTGTAACATCGTGTGTATATTTGGGTATGTCTGTACACATGTATAAAAAGAAAAAAAACTTGAGTAATATACCAAAATGTTTACACAGCTTATCCTGTGGAATTATGAATAACTTTCATTTATTTAAATAAATCTTTCCGTAATATCAGAATGTCCAATCACAAGTATGTAACATTTTACATATTATTCTAGAAAATGGTGGGAGTTATTTTCATTGTGGTAAGAAGAAAACACCTTGAGAAGTATTTATATTATAGTTAGAAAAATAAGTTGCCATATTTGAATAGCATATGAATTTATTATTTTTATTACATGTTTTCTACTTGTTTGTTAAACCAACAGCTTGTCAAACAACTTCATCTGTACTGCTTGAATACATTTATCCAGTCCCGGGCACTGAGTGTTGAATTTCCAGAAATGATGTCTGAAGTTATTGCTGCACAATTACCCAAGATATTGGCAGGGATGGTGAAACCCCTTCTCTTTCATAAAAAGTGAATGTCATCTTTTTCTTTTAAAGAATTAAATTCTGTGGTATGTCTTTTTGTTTTGTCAGGATTATGAGGTCTTGAATTTTTATAATGTTCTTCTGAAAGCCTTACATTTATAACATATCATAGTGTGTAAATTTAAGAGAAAAATTGTGAGGTTCTAATTATTTTCCTTTATAAAGTATAATTAGAATGTTTAGCTGTTTTGTGTACCCATATTTTCTTGAAGAATTTACAAGACTGAAAAAGTACTAAAATTGTTAAACTATATCTTATCCATATTATTTCATACCATGTAGGTGAGAATTTTTAACTTTTGCATCTAACAAATCATCTACTTAAGAGAAAAAAAATCTTACATGTAATAATACAAAGCTATTATATCAGTTATTTCTAGGTAACTCCCTTTGTCTCAATTATATTTCCAAAAATGAACATTTAAAATGTTATGCAAAATTTTGTCTAAGTATATTTGTGTGAGGATGAAATTCGTAACTTTCATCAGATTTTCAAAAGTATTTTTAATGCAAATAATGTAGAAAGAGTTTAAAACCACTAAAATAGATTGATGTTCTTCAAACTAGGCAAAACAACTCATATGTTAAAACCATTTTCCAGATTGGAAACACAAATCTCTTAGGAAGTTAATAAGTAGATTCGTATCATTATACAAATAGTATTGTGGATTTTGTAGGTTTTTAAAATAATCTTTTTTGGGGAGAGAATTGTCCTCTAATGAGGTATTACAAGAGGAAATAAGAAATCAGAAGATTATGGCCTAACTGTACTCCTTACCACCTGTGGCATGTTGAAAGTTAGTCACCCTTACTGATTTTCAATTCTCTCACCTTTGAAAGTAATAAAATATCTTTCCTGCCAATTGCTCCTTTTGGTCAGAGCTTATTAACATCTTTTCAAATCAAAGGAAAGAAGAAAGGGAGAGGAGGAGGAGGGAGGTATCAATTCACATACCTTTCTCCTCTTTATCCTCCACTATCATGAATTCCTCTTATGTTTCAGCCATGCAGATCTTTTTACCATCAAATTTCTGCCAGAATTTTCCCCTTTGATGCTAATTCCATATGCGTGTTTCAACCTTCAAGACTCAGCCAAATGTCATTTCTGTAAAATCTCTGAGTCTTTCAAGTAGTAATTTGCCTTCTCCTAGAGTTCACCTGCCACTTTGTGCACATTTGAGTTACAGTAGCATGTTGTTTTACAATTGTGACTCTCCTAGGAGTCTGGGAGCCACATAAAGTGGACAATAGTGTTTGTCGACTGAGAGTTGAATGACATGTTGTCTCTGTCTTGGTATTACAGTAGATTTTGATCATTCTTTGGTTACATTTTTGCATATTTCTGTACCCATGACTTTATCACTTCCTTCTCCCATGCTTTATCAAATATCTTCATCTCTTTTAAACTTTCCACCTTTGCTTCCTACTTTGTGAGATCTCTCCCTTTACTGACTATAACATAGAAGAATAGAAGTGTATTGTATGTGTCTTAAGGACAATACTTTAGATTTCTTGTTCTAAGTTTTTAAACTGAATGAATGGAATATTATTTCTCTCCCTAGGAAAAATTCCACAAAACAATTATTTCTCACGTTTACGTAGCCTTAAATTGTTTTGTACTGTAAACCTCAGTATAAAAACTTTCTTCATTTCTAATTTCATTCAACAAATATTGATTGAGTACCTGGTATTAGCACAAGAAAAATGTGCCAATAAGCCTTATGAGAATTTGGAGCTGAAGAAAGACTATCTAACTCAGGAAGGTTACAGTCCAGTAGTAGGTATAAATTACAGTGCCTGATAGGTAGGCGTTTTAATATCTGTACACTCAACATATACTAGATAGACACAAAACATTTACAGACAATTTTACTGATACATGTGCAGCACAAAGGTACTAACTTTAAAGTAAATATTAAATAACACCTTTATGTGTCAGTAATTCATTTGCATTAAATCTTATTGAAAAGGCTTTCAGTATATTTTCCCCACAAACGTCATCCCAATCGAAGTATTTTTAACATCTCCCAAATATAATAGTTACAGGAAATCTACCTCTGTGAGAGTGACACCTCTCAAAATGAACTGTGTGACATAAGAAAATGAATGTAGGTCTATCCAAAAACCCCCAAGAAACAAAAACAATATTATTAGCCCTTTATACTTAAGTGATGGACTCAGGGAACAGTTGATGTTGTGGTCATTTTATTATCTCATTCTTGTTACTTTGAATTAAACCAATATTTTGATGATATAAATCATTTCCACCAGCATAGATTTAATTTCCATCATAACTTTAAAATTTTCTAATTTCACTCAACTATGAGGGAATAGAATGTGGTGGCCACAGGTTTGGCTTTTGTTAAAATGTTTGATATCTTTGATGTTGATCTCTGTCTGCAATGTAGTTGTCTAAACACTAGGATTTAATATTTAATGCTAAGCTTAAAAAATAAAATACCTTTTTAAAAAGAATATGGCTTCACCAAATGGAAAATATCTAATTTCTAAATATTTTTCTCTACAAAGTCCTATCTACTGATGTCTCCATTACTATTTAGTCATCATAACCATTATCTTCATTTTACAGGTCATGTTCTTTCTGGTAGCTCTAAAATGACACTAAATCATAAGAAGACAGGTTACATATCAGGAAATACTTGAAGGTTATTGAAATAGATTCTTGAGATGAAAATATTTTCCGTAAAAAGGTTTGAAAAGCCATTTGAGTCTAAAGCATTATACCTCCATTATCAGTAATTATGTGACAATTGTGTGTGTTTAATGTTTAAAGATGTGGCACTTTTTAATAAGGCAATGCTATGCTATTTTTTCACATTTAACATTAAGATAATTTATTGCTATACAGGTGATATGGAAATCTGATGAACAATATTTTTTTTGCCAAAACTATGCCTTGTAAGTAGCCATGGCATGTCAACCTGTAACTTAAATTATCCACAACTAGTCATGTGTTTGATGATGGGCACTGTGGAGATAGCTGACGTAGGACTGTGCCCCCCTTCTCTGCCACTTACTAGCTGGATGAGATTAAGCAAGTTATTTAACCTCTCTGATTAAACCTGCCTTTGCCCAGTGCTTTGTAATGAGTAGAAATGGAAACCAAAAAAATGTATACAGGCGTTCAGAAATAGTAATTGCTATTATTTTGTTTTCATTAAGCCATAGTTCTGGCTATAATTTTATCGAACTAACTGGCTATTTTCTACAGTGAAACCAGGGTTCTAGAAAGTCTCATTGTTTTATTTATGTCACCATATGCTATGATATATTTGATTGAATTCATTTAAAATTAGGGCTGAAAGTATTCAAGTAATTTATTCTGCTGAAAAAAATACAGTGTTTTGAGTTTAGGGCCTGTTTTATCAAAGATCTAAAGAGGCTATCACTCTTTCATTGTAGGTATTTTAAAATAATGACACTGATTTTAACATTTTAAGTGTCTTTTTAGAATGAAGAGCCTGACTAGAACATAGCCCCTACAAAAACCCATGCTGAAATTATTTTTACTATGGCAACAATTCCACAAAAGGGAACAATGGGTTTAGAAATCACAGTGAAGTCATCAACCCAAAAAATAACTTCCTATCCCTAAGAAGGTTATGATGTAAGATGCCCACAAGAAATCTATGTCTGCTTTAATCTGTCTTGTATTCCTTTGGTAGGATGGCTATTACATTTTTAGTTTTTGCTGTGAGTACCTAGGCAATTTCTGTCATCCATACTTATCCTTCACACATCAGAAGTCAGGATAGAATATGAATCCTTTTAAATATTTTTACAACCCTAGAGCCTTGTGCATAAGAAGCACTCAAAACTTGCAAAATATATATTTTTTTTCAAATTTAAAGATACTCTATTTTTGTATTCAATAACTCAACAACTGTGGTCCCCACTGATAAAGTGAAGTGGACAAGAAGACAAGTAATGGCTTAAGTTTCTTGTTCCCAAAGTATGCCTGTTCAGTAGCCATTGGATGTGGGAAATTTCTACATCTCTTAAAATTTACAGGAAATACATAGCCAGATGTAGCAAAAGTTCATCAAGTCCTAAATTGCTTATCCTTACTATACTAAGTCATGAAATGATTTTTTTTTTTTTTTTTTTTTTTTTTTTTTTGAGACGGAGTCTCGCTCTGTCGCCCAGGCTGGAGTGCAGTGGCCGGATCTCAGCTCACTGCAAGCTCCGCCTCCCGGGTTCACGCCATTCTCCTGCCTCAGCCTCCCGAGTAGCTGGGACTACAGGCGCCCACAACCGCGCCCGGCTAATTTTTTGTATTTTTAGTAGAGACGGGGTTTCACCGTGGTCTCGATCTCCTGACCTTGTGATCCGCCCGCCTCGGCCTCCCAAAGTGCTGGGATTACAGGCGTGAGCCACCGCGCCCGGCCATGAAATGATTTTTAATGAAAAGAACATCACCTAGGTTTTGTGGTTTGTTTTTTTCTTATTCATGGCTGAGTGAAAAGAACAATCTCTGTTTCTCCCTAGCATCTGCGGACTATTTAATGTACCATAATTCCACACTCTGTGGTCCTTATTAAATCCAAAATTAAACAAAAAGCAGTAAAATAACTGACTACTCACCCATATTATGAAATATAATCCAAACCAGATTAGTCAACATCCATAAGATGAATCTAAGCTGAACTGGGCCTAGATTATTGAGTTCAGGTTGGCTCACATCCCTATTTATTAATAAACTCAGGAAAGAAGGCCTTACAGACCATCAGCTAGCTGTAGCTAATAGAACCTATACTTCTAAAGTTAAGCCTAGAATGAATATGGCCTTAAAAACTGAAAAGAAGCAGGAAAGAACAATTTTCTTCAACAATTTGTCCACCCTGTCACTGGAGAAAATTTAAGAATTTGGGGGTGTTGGTACTAAGTTAAACACAGCAGCTGTTCATGGCAGAAATGATTTAATACATACATTCTCTGAATATCCTATAACCAAAGCAAAGAAAAACACCAAGGGGTTTGCTCTCCTCCTTGGAGCTGACTGCATTCCAAGGCAGAGCTCAGGTCACATGCCCAGGGGCTGCGCCCAAGCTTGTCCGCAGCCTTATGCAGCTGTGGAGTCTGGAAGACTGTTGCAGGACTGCTGGCCTAGTCCCAGAATGTCAGCCTCGTTTTCGATTTACTGGCTCTTGTTGCTTTATGTCATGCTGACCTTATTGTTAAACACAGGTTTGTTTGCTTTTTTTCCACTCATGGAGACATGGGAGAGGCATTATTTTTAAGCTGGTTGAAAACTTTAACTGATAAAGCATTTTTAGAGAAACATGAATCAGGCAGCTAAGAAAGCATACTCTGTCCATTACTTTAAAGAAAATGTACAGATTATTAACTCTGTAGTGTGGCGTTAATGTCCTGGTCAATATTTAGATAGGCATGAATAAAATATTTAAATGATATTGTAAATAGTTTTCGGGACATATGCTATAGCTTATTTTTATTATCTTTTGAAATTGCTCTTAATACATCAAATACTGATGTATTCAATTTATCAGATATAAATTATTCTAAATGAAGCCCACTTCAATGTTTTTGTCTTGTCAGTTATATGTTAAGCTTCTGATCTCTTTGTCTATGATGTTTACTAATCTGAGTTTTTGTTCTTATGAATTATTTTAGACAGCAGTGGTTTTAAGCTTTTTGCCACGAAAAAATTTTCTCCTCCCCCAGGAAAGTTTATACCCTGAAGTATCCATCCACCAAACTCTACTTCTATTAAGAAATAGTTATTTTGTTTTCTTAATGTTCTGTTATTCAAAGACATATCAGTGAAAGCTGCTGAGCAGCATGAATAACAATTATATCCACACCGATTTGATATATTTTGTGTAGCCTTAA